TTCACAATGCAATCGCAATACCTGCAGACCTCAAGTTTATCTTTAAAGCAAAATGATGAGTTTTATCCCAAAAGACCGAAGGATCTACATGTAAAGACTAATCCCAATTGGTTTTCATGATCCAACCTAGTCTACTGTAAACTAAAACCCCAATATTTTCGAGACCTAAAACTTTTGCAAATTGAAGCGGATGGCCTTTTTCATGGCATGAATTGAATTGCCAACCATGAAAAAATAAATATACCGTACATGCTCCGTTACGAGTCAACTTACTTTCACAAATATACAGAGCATTGTACTGGCATTCAATGCATTGTATTGCAAAAAATTCACAGCATTTTAATTTCACGAATCCTCGAGAAATTCAGGAAAGTGTCATGTACACATATACATGTACACATATACATGTATTTCTGGATTTACAGTATTGCATTTCCTCATACATGTTTATCCTGTCTTTCATGTCAGTTTTCCCACTAATCAAAACGAATGAGCAAAAAATCTGAACATTCTCAGGAAAAGTGCCTCATAAGAACAAAGCGGAAATCCCCACTTGAGAAAATGATGATTGCTGTGGTAACCAGAGACTATAAAAATACTGTACCATTCTGATGGTATGGGGAAACTTGTGGTGTCTCTAACGGCTTCTATTCTTTAACGCAGTGAGGAAAATATTCACAATTCATAGGAAGTCATGATAACACGAATGACATCATTGGAAGTGAGCTTGCAAATTTTTATTTTTTGATTGGTCATGTGAGCTGTATATGTACCATACAGTAGTCACCAGTGTAGAAAATACATTTCATCTATTCTGAGCCAAATTGGTGTTAACTCTGTGTTAGTGATTATCTGTTGCTGGTCACAAGCAGTTAGTGTTTATTTTAGTTTTTCTTGAAAAAAGGTGATATTTTCGTTCAGATATTTTTGTTCTGAAGCTCTTTTAGCACTTTCCAGCCGAACCATGGACTTACAATACAGGTTACAATGACAACTGCACCGTGGTGAATTCCTCTGCAAACTTCAACCATGAACTAAAAATTATGGTCAACCCTAACCCAACCTTAAAACTAACTGCAACTATAACCCTGACCGGCTGACCCTGTACCTTACACAAAACAAAGCCCAGAGCAAATGTCACCCAGACAAGTGTTGGCCCATGCATCCTAATCACCCTCCACTCGACCGGTCCTCCTCTATTTACAAGACGACAACAAATGCTTACATGTATCTAGAGTGTGTAGAGGTGTGAATATATCAAGCCAATTAGCATAATTTGCTGAGATGTAGGTAAACACAGTCAGAGTGAAGTATACCCAAACAACATCTTCAACCCTCACTGTTTGAGTAGCTCTTCATCTCTACATACAGGTCCTTCCCCAAACCATCTCAACCAAGTTCTTTCATCACTTAGCTGCGATGGGTGAACTCAAGGACAACTTCAGGCCATTCGTTAGTAGTGAACTATATCATCAGCTGAGTACCAGAAAGGCACTTACTCTTAGGATTTACATAACGTTAATGCCCTTCTGGCTCTCAAAAAAGACAATGTGCAAGCCACACATGGGACACACATTCTCTGACAAAAATAAGGGTGCATGTTGCACAAGTGGTTGGTTACAATTGTATTTTAAGTATTTTCGATTTAGCAGTTCACCACTTGGATGATACGCTAGTAATGTACATGTACAAGTAGTGAACTATATCATCAGCTGAGTACCAGAAAGGCACTTACTCTTAGGATTTACATAACGTTAATGCCCTTCTGGCTCTCAAAAAAGACAATGTGCAAGCCACACATGGGACACACATTCTCTGACAAAAATAAGGGTGCATGTTGCACAAGTGGTTGGTTACAATTGTATTTTAAGTATTTTCGATTTAGCAGTTCACCACTTGGATGATACGCTAGTAATGTACATGTACAAGAAAAACTTAATGTGCTTCTTTGGTCTTGGACGATATCTGAACTTAACAAGGGATATGAAATCTAAGATGGGAGTTGCTGCTACCTCGTTTGGTGCTCAACAATAAGGGATAGAGCAACGTCGATCTGGCGCTGCTCAGTGGCTGCCGGGCTCACGATCAATTGGGCAAAAAGAATTTCCATTTTCGGTTTTACTTAATAAAATTTGGAGTGGACTTTAAAATTATTTATTATTATTAAAAACATCTATGGGCCAGTAGGCAAAAGTAGTACAAGTTGCCAGTTGTACAATAGCATTTTGAGTATTTTTATGATTTGGCACGCTGTTTAGTACCTTACTTACTGTACACCTAGACAAACAAGTTAATCTGTGAAGGGCTACACACCTAGATTATAAATGCACGTGCAAGTACTATACAGAACTATCACTTAACCTCAGAATCACATTTTTTGTTTACAATGTGGAAGTAATTTAGATAAGAATTTAGACTTTTCTCTGATCAAAATTTAAAGACACAATTTTGTCGGGATAGGGATACAGTGTACAGGCATATGCATATCATTCCAAATAATATGATATGTACATTTTCTGGTCACAAGCCAATATGGACTTTGAACAATTATAACATCATAAAGAGATATCTCCAGATAGATTTTTTTATTCTTGTCAACAAAATCAAAAGAAGCTTGTTGGTACACGCATGTCGGCTGCAACTACAATGTATACAAAATATGATACACTAACTTCCTTTCATCACTTTGTATGATACAAATATTAGCATTAGCTAAACTGCTACTTCTCAATGTATTTTTTTCTTCACTTATCATTAGTCTCATTTATTACATATATAAATTTAAAAAATGTTAGGAAGAAAACTGATGGTGTTTCATGAGCTGATAAAAATGCAGGATTAATGAAGAAATGCATGTAGTCACAAGCAAACACAGAGGATGAAAGATGTTGGGGAGGCAAGAAAAGGTTGCCAATCAATAATGACAGGATACTATTAAAATTTGATAAGCTCATGTAATTCAATGCTAGTATCCGCCACTCGGTCCCTCAAGGAACTTTGTAGTGAAATTACATGTACCTTTAGATTCTGAAGGGAAACATTAGAATGGAAGACAACACGACAGGAAAAGGTTTTATGAAGATTAGAAAGCTTAAATGTCTAAAGAAAAGGGAAAAATCAAAGTCGTTTCTGAACAGGCAAATCCCTCCCTTAGGCAAGTTGAGGGAGATTCGAAAGGGAAAATCCACTCTACATTAGTAAAAGAGCTAATAATAACAAAGAACTGTAGTGCATGAATCGACTGCTACACCCACCCCAACCCCAACCCCACCCGACTTTAAATAATGAATGTGCCCAAACTACTTAACAATGTATGGTAATGAATAAGATGAAACAAGATGAGAGCGTGTGAAAGGGGGAGAAATATTACAAAAATGAAAGGAAAAAGCCTCAAGTTGTCATGTCAGTCAATAGTGTGTATGACAACCAGACTAGTACCATGTTTGCATAATTTTGATGGGTGCAGTATTTCCTTTCATCAAGTTCACGAATAAATGCATTAGGTACAGAGTGAACAATATCTGAAGCATCCTGGGAGAGTACATGTAGTTTATGCTTTCATGTAGTAATACAGGACATACCGTACACTTTTACAACAGGGGTACAAAGTGCACAGGAAAAGTAACAATATAGTTGAGAGCCGCCCAAAGAGCAGGCATAGGGCATGGATACTTTGAAATTACTATAATCACTGTACATCTCTGTACATTGTAGGTTCGGTATAAAAAGCAATGAAAATGCCTGGCTAAGGTCTACCAGTATGTAAACAAAATACCACATTGCATGTAGTGTACATTGTAGGAGCCGCTAGATGAAATGAACTAATGAACAAATTTAGAATACTTGGAACATACATGTGTATGCAGTTAAACCCAAAGCTGTCATAGGCAGCTAATCATGGGGAAATAAGCAAAAAAATGCGCAGATTATAGAAAAGTACAGTAACTGGAATGTGAAGTTTCCTCAAAACAAACACATTTCATGTTTTCATATTAGACACTAAAGCCAATGACCCTATTTCTTTTTCAGTAATGAATGAAGACTAGAAATATTTCCCTGAAACAAAGTGATTAAAACTTCCCCATTGTTCAAGGAATCATCAACCACAAAGACTTGGTGGTACTTTAGAGTTACATGTAGGATGCATAAGCACTCTGCTCCACGGCAGTATAATGAAAAGGGCCCATATTATACTCCTCTCACAAGACCCTCCCAATAACTAAGCAATCCCCATTGTGATAGTCCCACATGATGTAAATTTAAGTGGGTAAACACTTCAGCAAATAAGCAGGGTTAAGCATGTTTCCCCCACTGCTCCATCCCTATCCCATGATGTAATTATACTCATTAAAAGCCTCGACTTGATGCCAAGAGGCAAATCGCAACAATCGTCTGTTCTCGCCGCCTAATTGGAATTTTTTTGCGCACAATAATAAGGTTAAAGAGCAGGTCTATGTATTATTGATGCATCCCTCTATTGATGTTCCTTAATTGCAGCTTATACCATCAACTAAAGTGCTTACCCATGGTTAACTTGTTTATGATTAATAGAAATATGCAGGTATGAACAGAGTTAAAAAAAAATGATGCAATGTACAATATGGAAAATAGAATTGATTAGAGTTAAATCCAGCTGTGATACTGCATGCATTAATCAATCTAGATATTGTATTCTCATATATGTACTAAATTGGTTGTCAGCTAAACAGAGGTGTAATTTATATACTGTAATGACACGTTCTTCCTTTTTGTAGATGTTTTCCCACATCTATGTTATTGTTGTTGTTGTTGTAGATACATTTAGTCTATTTTCATATTGTGTAAATTATATTTTGTGTGTGTTCATTGCCTATTATTATGAGTACATTGATTATTCTGATTGTATGTTTTATCTTGGCTTGGATCCCTTTGAAAAAGAGCAATACATCCCATAGGTTGATAAATAAATAAATAAAAAAATAGCCATAGCCTAATAAAAGAAGCAGAATAAATCAATTTGGGGATATACAGTTATACATGTTACCCAGTAGGCCATTGATCTATTTTATCTAGTTGAAAGCTACTGCAATCATGAGTGAAGGAAGAAAAACAAGGCAGAAACCCATATTAATTCATGAAAATTGCAAACAAGCAGGGTAGGCAGTTCCCTGTAATACCTCAGTCACACATACCGCCAAACCGACCGATTCTCAGCCAGTCTAGGTATTAAACTATTTCATTCGGTCTGATGTTGGTCTGGTTTCGGTCTCCTTGGTGTGAATAGGGTCTAACTAGTGATATCTCAACAGGTTTATTCATTCAAATGGAGCCCAAATTAGCAGTGTAAAAGCATAGCAAATATAGTCTTTGATTAAAGGAAGCAATATCATTTGCTGATGGCAAAACCAGTACACATCACATTAGTGCACAAATGAAATAACAATTAAAATAAGACAAGACTTACCTCACTGATCCTTCGTAAACTTGATGCAAACATTCCCTGGCATTTAGCAACTTCATCTTTGGTTGGGATCCCCTCTCTTCTCTCAATCACCACCATGTTCTCTGTAACGTAGCAAACAAAGCAAACAAAAATGCTACAACGTCTTGTGCTCGATCCTTAGGATTCCAAAGAGGAAACCCAAAAGTCTGGAGTAAGTTTTGTTTGTAAACTGTGGAACAAGAGTTAATGATGAACTTTTCTAAACAGAACGAGGAACTAATCTCAAATGAAGTAAAGGCCTTAACCAAAACCTTGGGCATTCTACGAGAGAAAATTCTATTTTCGGCAGGATGCATCAAGTTATAGACATTACACTGCAACATTCCGTTACATCAACATGACTGAGGAAAGGTTACTGGCTCAAGTTTTTTTTGTTCCAAGAATAATTGGGTATTTTGCTTTCTATGATTCATGTTGATGACTCCATGTAAAACCATATTTCCAGGCAATGGGAGAGGAACAAACGTGTTGTTGGTTGAAAGCCAAGCAAGTTTTCAAGACTCGTACATGTACATATCCAGGAGAATCATCCATTTGAGTGAAAACAATATATTGTTTACCTCAAAACTCTAGCAAATATTTGAATGGTTAACCAATGGCCTTCATGTACGGATCAATTGTAAGTTTTCATCTGGGCCACTTCAGCGATGTTTAAAAAATTAACAAAATACAATTGTTTACTTCTCATTAATGATTTTAAAAAATTGTGCTAACGTGCTGTATTCTTTTCCACTTCTTGCTATTATACATAACATTAAAACAGGATCATGTATTGCAGTCTTTAACCTACTAATAAAAGAAAACCTACAACTGGAGTAACAGTTAGTTGCTACTCATTATATTTCATTATTAACATGTCTTCAATGAGCCAATTGTTTGTTGTACTTTCACAGGTCTATGATGTACAGTACAGGGATAAATATCGTCGCTGTTTTCACGAAGTGACGGTAGTGAAAAAAAATTGCATTCACTTTGCGTTACGATTTTCCTCACTACCGTCACTTCGTGAAAACAAGGACGATATAGCTAACTGTTGTACTATGTAGCACAGAAGTGATTGAATCGAATGCAAGTGTTCAAACATGAACTATCTTGTCTTATCATTTATCAAATACTTACCCTGACCCGGTCTTGGCGGTCTTGGACCAGCAGATGGTCTTTGGGGACTAGGTCTAGCAGGCGGTGGAGGTACTATTTGGTTCCTGCCATCTGTAGGGCAATAGAGTGACTGAGGTCTTTGGACTTGACTCCTTCGATTCTCCCGTGACTGGACTCCCGATTTGCTGCCAGGGACATCTGGCAAGGGTCTGTCTGGGAATGCGCAGGACTTGCGGCGTGGAGTCTTAAAGAGCTGGGACACTCTGTTCTTAAGGTGGGCCGTCTTTGAACGGCGTGGGATGCTTGGGTCAATGGAGACGTCATTGAGGGAGGAGTGGCGCGGAAGCGACTTGCTCCGCATTGAGGCACTGGTTCCTGTGTTGTCGCTGTACAGACCGTTCATGAGTGCAGGTAAACACATGTGAGTTGGTTCGGTCTCCCACTCTGCCTTCTTAGGATCCTGGTCTAACACCATGGACATACGAGGTGGGATAGGTGGAGGTGATTCATCATCATCACCTGGACTTCCTTCGGGCTGAGCATAGTCTCCAAAACCAGATTTGGGTTTTGTTCTTCGATCTATTGCTGGTCCATACATACTATTTTCTTTGAAGGACTCATCGTTTCTGTAGCTGGCTAATATAGCTGCTCCTTCGGACACTGATCTTGGAAGGTTATACTGAAACCTTATATCGCTCTCATCACATGCTGAACCTTTCTGGGTTGTAAATACATCTACTATTTGACTATCCTTTGGCAAGGGTACAACATGCTCAAATTTTTCCTTTTTCAACTTCTCTTTCACAACTCTGTCTGTGTCCCCATTTCCATTCTGTTCTGAGTTGCCTTTACGTTGTGTCTTTGATTCCCTATGTAGCGAATCTGATGAACTTCTGTGATGTCGATCAGAAGATTCACTATCTAAACTTGCCAGGCTATCTTTCATCATGACCTCAGCTATGTGAGGTGTACGAGGGTTGTTCAGAGGCTCCATGTCAGGCTGGTGTCCCATCTGGATCACCAGAGGTTCTAACTCAGCACTTGACAGGATTTTATTCTGCTGCTTTGTCCTTGAGTCAGCGTCACTTTCTCCTTCATTTTGCTCCACTTCCTCACAGTCTTCCTCCATCTCTGTAAAATGACAATGTACATTCACGGAGCAGTTGACCGTCACATCCGAGTTGGACTGCAGTCCTCCACTCGGGACAATGTTTACTGAGATGTCATTCCTGACAGATGCCTTCCGTTGTAAAGGCACAGTGGATTCTGACTCGCTTTCATCTCCCATCAGACCTCCAACACTAAGCTTGACATCTACATTGTTCCCTTTCCCTTCCTCTCCACAGCGATTAGCCTGAACATTCAACACAACACTTCCCAGCTCAAAGTTTTTGCCAACCGCACTGCTCTTCTTGCGGTACAGTCCTGTCTTCGGACGCGCCCCTTGCTTGTCAAAGACAGAAACACCATTGTAAGAACTCTGGTTGATGGTAGAATCCATGTTCTGCATTGGACTACTGCCGCCATTTTGCGAAACCCTTCCACTCAAATGTTCGTTTCCCCTTCCATGTTTAACAACGCAGTGATCCATATCAGCATCGCGTCTCTCCAGGCCATTCCCGTTTCTAATATCACATCCATTGTGATAAATGCAATGGCTTGTTCTTCCATTGAGTGAGGTCCTTTCTGGATCATTATCCAGTCTTGATGGCTGTAGGTCTCCATTGAAACCCTGCCCAACAGATGGGTTCACCACAACACCATTCACCAGGTTCTTCTGATATCCTCCTGGCAACCCCTGTCCTACCGGATCTTCTTTCGGGGACTTGCTGCCCCCTCGTTTCAATGTCCGCCTCATCCTTCCCATCAACCCTGTGGCTTCCTTTCTCCCTGATATTTCTCGAACATCACGACTGTTGGAAGCTGGAAGCTTAGCTGAGGGCATTCTCATCTGAACATCAGCCCCAGAGTTCCTGCAGATGACAAGAAAAGAAGAAAAACTTGATAATATATTGCTTGATTGAAAGTGCATTATAAAATCGGTAGCTGGACAGATCTTGAGATAAACTGAAATAAAAACAATATCTTACAACACTTTTTTCAAAACATGTCATGTGAAGTGATAACTTGAAATAACTAAATGTCATACAGATAGTGCAGTTATATATTTTTTTAAATAAATTTTTAAAAACTGTCATTATTTGTCAACAAATGATAATGTCAGAGTAGTGTCTATCATGTTCATACCCACTGCAGACTGTAATACAGATTTTAATTTCAAAGAAAAAATATGTGCAAAAGCAATGCCTCCCGAAAGCAAATCAGTTCACAGCAAATTTTTCAACAGCCTAATGTCATTGCTTTCACTTGTTCTACCTTTTTTCTCGATGGCTACCAGATTTCATCCTAGCTGCGTCTACAAAGATATCTGAATACAATAACAACTTTCACTGAATTTCGCACAAATCACAGATCCTTTCAAGCCACGACACTGGGCTCCTGTCAGATTATTCCGTCGCAATGGACAAGATTTCATGCAGGTAGTGCAAAATTTACAGCTGCTCTTTAGTTTATACCAAAAACAATGCTCATGGAATCCTAGGAGACTACCAAACAACAAACAGCAAACAACGACAGTGTTTAGGGTACTGATATAAAGTTGCTTGGGCTGACGGAAACCTACAACATTGACTAATGTGACTGTGTCATCACTGGAATAATCTTAGCTCATTGGTTATTATAAATTAGAATGAAAAGGAAAGCGAAACCATCACAAGAAGCGACCACATCATCAATGGTCTAGTCTTGAGTTAAAGATTCATTGTTATACATTTTTGATAGAAGATAGAAATCTCACAAGCCTGCTTTTCTTTGCAATTGGAGTAGTATCATTTACGAAGGAGCTTTAAACTCCTTGTATTTATTTGGTATTTGTTTAAAATAAATACCCAAACTGTCCAATTCTTTTTGAACATACCATGTGGAGTATGTACAGCTTGAGAAGAAAAAGGTCTGACTTCACAGATCAAGCGTAACTGGCGCTGTCCTACAATTATTGTCATACATTGCGGTCTGATGTGTACAGTGTACAAAACCTCTATAGATATTATTTTCCTCATCAATAAACCTCCAGAATTAAATCTGCCAAATATCTTTCAACCCGACTGGAGTTTTGAAAGAATTTGCGCGACAGGAAAAGGGAAATAATTCAAGAATTAAAACTTCATGACTGAGGGCACACATGGTATGTTTAATGAATAGTATGAATTGTGTGGTCAAAAGTATTGCCAGATCAGCTGCAAGTCATAATGACATCAAACCAGCTGCAAGATTCCCCCCCCCCCCCCCCCCCCCCCCAACTGGGCCAACTAAGATTGGACTTTCCCTTTAACATTAAGGCTGAAAATACCTTGCAATTTCAATATTACCGTATGCCAACTATTCAAGTGACCATTTCATACTATATCATTAACATTTCTTCAGTCAATCTTGTACATACAGTACTTCCATGTTCTTTCAACAAAAAAATTGGGCTTCATTCATTTCTTGAGGCATGCTTTAGCCTTTCTGATAATACTAGATTTGTCTGGATTACACAGCCTCCAGCAATTTAAGGAGCAGTTTTAATACACTGATAATGTTTTTTAATAATATAAGACTTGGAGAACAGCTAATACTCAGCTCGAAAGACATAGCAGCAGTTTCTATTGCTCTACTTGCCTTGATAAATGGTCACTTCCATAGAATTTCTACTTGAATCAAAACTAAAAGGGAAAATTAATAGCAGACAAAAGGAAACAAGGAAGTGATGATGTCCATATGGCAATATTTAAAAATATGAGAATATATCTTAAATCAAAATTTAGTGGCTTGGAATTCCATTTCCTCGTTTTCTGAATAAGAAGAATCAGCCCAAAATAAAGTGTTTTCATATGTCAAAAATACTAATATTTGCCCTCAAAATCATCTGAATGTCATATGTTCATGGATATTGTCCAAATACATGTAAGTCCTATACAGCATGGTTTTGCCTACAGAATATGTTACTGAATTATCACAATGTAAAAGTCAATCTGACTGAAAATGAATTATTATTCCTCACATCTTTGATTCTGGTATGCTATCCCAAATTTAAGGTACATGTTTCTGCTGGTAGACTGTTTATTCTAATTCAAGAAAATTATCATTAAAGATTCAAAAAGTTTTACTTTTACGAGTCTTTGAAAATAAAGATGAAAAAATAGACACTTTAAAAAACGAAGGAGAACCAAACCTATACTGTAGAAATGGTCTTGAGTTAAAATGGTGGTGATGATGGTGGTTGTTGTTGTTGGGGGGGGGGGGGGTGAGTGGTGGCTGTGACGTAAGCATTAAAGTGCTTTGGCTTGTACACCCTGAACTTGTAGATGGAGCAAACCCCCCAGTCTAAAATCAAATTACAAGCGCATGGGGCGAATCAATAGCTCCGCCATTCAGGGTTGTATACAGGTGTGTGTGGGTGGGCAAACGTGATCTTAGCGATGTTTGGGAGCTGTCGATGGCGTGAAATGAGCCACGGTGAGGTGCGGGCCAATTTATAAAGCCTGAAAGGACCATGTCTCTTGCTCAGCTTCTTAGAACGAAGGAAGGAAGGATGCTCTAGCTGCTGCAAGCAGGCTCCAGGGCAAACAACATAATCAACACAGCTCTACAATCACTTCAAGATCTATGGCACCTCAGATAAAAAATCATTTTGTAGTTTTTTTTATTTCAAATTTCCTAAACTGAGATTGCTTCACTGAATGGTCTTTTGCAAATTTGAACCACTACTTGAGAACAAAAAAAAGATACTATGTCCCATTTGCAGGCCCAAAAAATGAAAAGGTTAAATTCCACCGGCATTTGAAAGGTAATACTAATTTAGAACTTCCCTAAAAATGGTGGGGCTTGAAAATGTCTGCAAGTGGGAAAATAACGACTGTTAGTTGTCAAATCGACTTAGGAGCTATAGAGCCAATAAGTAATAGTCTTGATTTTCGGACCTGTACCGAATGGTCATACGTTTTATGCTGCGCAAGGATTCAATCAGTTTAATTTTGGCCATCACAAGAAGTGGGTTATTGATGTAGACAAATGCTCATGTACCCTTTACAGCTCATGTTATGTATGTTATTACCAAAGAAGAAAAAAGCCAGTCACTCACTCAATAGTGTCTGACAGTGAAGTCTAGCAAGTAAACGGGTTTCCGTGCATAATTTGAATATTAGGACACTGCTAATGTTTTAATTTCACAGATAGGACATACATGACAAATTCATAATTCCTGCAAAGTTCTACAGAATTTGAGGTAGGCTGCAAAAGGGATATAGTACCTTTAAAGGTAATTGCAAAGTTTTGGGAAATATTGAAAATTGGAAGGAGAGTAATTCTTTACAATTTTGATATACTTGGATGACCCTGTGGATGTATTATAAGCACTAGAAAATTAGGCCCGTAAAACACTTCTGCTTTCGAGTAATTGGATAATCACCAATTTACTGGTGCTCCTGGTAAGTTTCAAATGTTTCAAATAGCGCCCCAGGCCATCCCATGGTACAAATGTAGCTGCGACCATGAAAATCTCAGAATATATATATATATATGCAGTTCTGATATAATTTCCAAACGGGAAAAGCAAATTGGTTTGATTGGTAGTCAAGAAACATTTTTTTAAAGCTAAAGTAATATCAGTTTTGAGAGTGCGCTTTACAACATAAAGAGTTATTTATTTACGATTTCATCACTTTAGACTTGATTTCAACCGCGACAACGATCATTGAATATTGTAAAATCACATACATGTACGCTTCCAATATGTTCATTTGAACCAAATTAATGACCCCTTACCAAAACTTTGTTTTACCTTTAACCGATATTCATAAAAAGGAACATATTTGGGGAGCAGATTCTGTATGATGTATCCCACATATCTCTATGGCATGTATTTCCCTACAGTATGCAATTAACAAGAGTGCACTCAACAAATTAATGATACATGTAGGCCTACATAGTGTGCATCATTAATTAAGTACTGCGCTTAAATGGTTATTTTGATTTGTGTCTCATTAGGATGAAATGGACATGAATGCCCATTAGAAATGGTTGGACAATTAACCCCAGAATCATAATGGCACCAGCACCATCAAGGATAAAGGCATTAAAATGACTTAATGACACAGCACATCCCCTATACAAATTTAAGTTCGTCGCGAACTCGTATTATGCTCGTGGTAAGCTTAATAAGATCGTTTTTTAGGCTTTAAGCTCGTACACGCTTCCAGGACGCTAGTAACGATCTTACAAAATCTTCACGAGCTTGTGAACGAGTTCGTCACGAGCTCGTGGCGAACTCGCGGGTAAACTGGGCAGCTCGTGGCGAGCTCGTGGGTAAAAGGGGGAGCTCGTGGCGAGCTCGTGACGAGCTCGTTGGTAAAAGGGGGAGCTCGTGGCGAGTTCGTGGGGAAAAGGGGGAGCTCGTGGCGAGCTCGTGGGTAAAAGGGGGAGTTCGTGACGAGCTCGTTGGTAAAATGGGGAGCTCGTGGCGAGCTCGGGCATAAACTGGGGAGCTCGGGGGTAAACTGGGGAGCTCGTGGCGAGCTCGTGGGTAAAAGGGGGAGCTCGTGGCGAGCTCGTGGCGAGCTCGTGGGTAAAAGGGGGAGTTCGTGGCGAGCTCGGGTTAAACTGGGGAGCTCGTGGCGAACTCGAGGTTAAACTGGTAAACCCAGCCCTCTAGGGTGGACACCAAAGTTTCATAATTTTTTTTTAAATATCTATTGATTCAAAATTGAACAATTCAATGAATTTTATATACACAATGTAGAAAGCCTTTCTTGTGAAAGATTAGAACGATTATAAATGAAGTTTTCTTAACAAAATTGTATTTTGTATTTTTCATATACGGTAACGCATGTTATGGGTGGACACCAACAATTTTTTAGAATTTTAAAACATGTGC